TCCTCAAAGGGCAGGTTTTTTTAACCACTGGTACTCCGGGACGAATTGTTAGTCCGTCGCTGGAGAGAGGGATGGCGACTTTAATTAACGAACTGATCTATCGCTCGGCGAATGAAGCCGCCCGTGACTTAGTTTCGTATCTAGTTGAAGACATTGTCCTTAAAAATTGAAAAAATTTCTCTCGTTTCCCATAAATGGTAGAAATCCCTCAAAAAATTACGATTTTTAACTAGGTAAATTACGAAATTTTAGCTTCGATGCCAAGCTGAGAAGGTATTAATTTTACTATGATGTGTTTTTTTTTTTGTGTCTGTTACCACTTTTTCTCAGCTCTCACCGAACCGATATTGATGAACAATACGTCAAAAGATCACAAATTGTATCTAGTCGAAGACATTGCCCTCAAAAATTAAAAAAATTTCCCTCGTTCACCGTAAATGGGGGAAATCTCCTAAAAAATTACAAATTTCAAAATCGCTTATTTTACTGACACTTTTATATACATCTTAAATTAAAGCTTATGTAATATAATTTATTATGAAAAAAGAATATTTCGGATTTTATTTTGTTTTCATGGTGAAAACAGACATCAAAGTTAATAAAAAAAATACGATTTTCGTAAAAAATTGCCTTTTCATATTTTAACTTTATAACTTTTTGAAAAATGTTTGGATCATTATAATTTTTTTAAGAGAAATAATATTTATATATTTCTTTCATACATATTTCGACATATTTCACTCCACTGTGCTGGGTTTATTTTAACTTCTTTTTGTTAAAATTACCGTAACTTTTTGAAAATTGAACGAATCAAAAAAATTATTTTTTATAATAAAATCTCAGGTGTTTTCCTTTCATTTAATATAATTTTTTTGAAAATTTAATCATATACCTGCCCACAAGGGGGAATTCAAAATAATAACTGTTTTACAAAAGTCAACTTTTTTGAAAATGTTCCAGAAATATTACGTCCTTTAAACATATGTTAAATTAAACGTACTATAAACGTACTATAAATTTAAAAATACCAACACAGGGGTGTCGCGGCACAGTGGTGAGGTGGCATAGATGGATCAATTATAATGATATCTGACAGTGATTAAAATCACTATCAAAAAAAAACGCTTCGATGCAAATCTTTAGACAGTGTTTAATTTTAAAAAATTGGTGGATTATTCCAAAAGCTTCATAAACTGCTAGTTCCTTATTAATATCCTGATTAAGACAAAGTATGTNAATTGGAACCAGTTATCTTATAATATTGGAACGCGACGTTCCGTTTATATTCGTATATGATAGAGTAACTGACGAGTGTATAAATATGTAGTGTGCGTTATGTTTGAAACGCACCACTGGGCATTGATGACGATTATTGCATATGAATTATAGCTAAAATTTTATAAAAAAAAAAAGATTAGAAAAAATTCATAACAATTTTCGGGTTTATATTTTCAATTATTAGTTGCACTCGTGTTGCTCTCAATTCACTTTATATTTCTCTAAAGAAGAAAAACGAGTTATATTTATGTATAGGAAATATCAATGTTAATATTATTTTATGAAATCAATCTAGAAGGTTTGAAATGAAGTATTTTGTGTAATATTGGCACGAAGTTAATATCTACGTGTCAGTTTTTAATTTATACAATACGGTATTTTTGCTCATTTTATAAAAGTTTTTGTTTAACCATTTTTTTTGAGCTCTAGTGCATTAAAAATTTGAATTAGTTGCAAAGTTAATATAGTCAAGGTTTTAACTTAATAAATAACTTTTGTTTTACTTTTAATAAGATAGTGTTCAGTAATTGTGATTAGTGGCGGATTTAATGTCATAGTGACATTGGTATTATAATAATAGTAATACTATAAAATTTAAAAAAAACCCAGCACAGGGAGGTCGCGGCACAGTGGTGACGTGGCATTGATGGATCAAGTATAATGATATCTGACAGTGATTAAAATCACTATAAAAAAAAAACGCTTCGATGCAAATCTTTNTGGATCAAGTATAATGATATCTGACAGTGATTAAAATCACTATCAAAAAAAAACGCTTCGATGCAAATCTTTAGATAGTGTTTAATTTTAAAAAATTGGTGGATTATTCCAAAAGCTACATGATCTGCTAGTTCATTATTAATATCCTAATTAAGATAAAGTATGTCGAATCAAAAAGGGATTATTAAAAAATATTATTTCTCATAAAAAAATAATGTTAATCCATACACTTTTCAATATGTCATAGCATTATAAAGTTAAAAATGTAAAAAATAAAATCGAGAATTTTCACATAATAATAGCATTCGGTAGCCATTTTCATCGTGGGATAAAATAAAGTCCGAATTTTTTTTTTCGCATAATAAAGTAAATTACTTTGCTTTAATTTAAGATATATATAAAAGTGTCAGACTTTCCGGAACACTTTCAAAATTTAAGTTGAAAATATCAATTTTTTATGAAAAAGTTTTCATTTTGAATCCCCACCTGTAGGCAGGTAAAAAGTCAGATTTATAAAAAAAATATACCAAATGATAGGTAAAGACATCATGCATCTACAAAAAAAAGAATTATATTGATCCATACATCTTTCAAAAAGTTATAGCATTATAAAGTTAAAAATATAAAAAAGAATTTTTTTACAAAAATCGTATTTTTTTTANTCAATAAGTTATAGTACTATAAAATTAAAAATGCAAATAATAAAATCGAGAATTTTCACATAATAATAGCATTTGGAAGCCATTTTCACCGTGAAGACATAATAAAGTCCGATTTTTTTTTTTTGCATAATAAAGTATATTACATTAGCTTTAATTTAAGATATATATATAAAAGTGTCAGTACTTCCAGAACATTTTCAAAAATCAAGATGAAAAAGTTAATTTTTTGTGAAAAAGTTGTCATTTTAAATCCCCCCATGTGGGCAGGTTAAGGGTTAAATTTATGAAAAAAATATACCAAATAAAAGGTAATGATATTATGCATGTATATAAAAAAAATTATATTGATATGTTCATTTTTGAATAAGTTATGGCACTTTTAAGTAAAAAAATTGAAAAAATATCGAAAATTAGCGATTTTTAAATTTGTAATTTTTTTGGAGGTTTCCCCCATTTACGGGGAACGAGGGAATTTTTTTCAATTTTTAAGGGTAATGTCTTCGACTAGATACAATTTGTGATCTTTTGACGTATCATTGAAAGATATCGGTTCGGTGAGAGCTGAGAAAAA